TCCCTTCCTGCGTCTGCGCCAGCCTGAGCGGGAGCTCTGGCCCTGACCTGGGATAGAACAGTGGGCTCAGGGCTCTGGAGTCTGCACCCCAGGCAGCCCCAACCCACCCGCTGCCTGCCTCAGTGCCCCCACAGTAAAATGGGCACACAGCAGAACAGAGGCCTAGCGACTGCATGGCGTGTCTGGGACAGGAGCCACGCTCACCCGGCACTGAGACCCTGCTCTCTCTCTCTCCTGACCCTGCTCTGGGGGGTGATGATCCACCACAAACCCCCACCTCTTGCTGCAGCCAAAGACCTAGAGGTGACCCCAGCCCTGGCCTTGCTCCTTGCAAGCCCCCACAGGGACTGAAGGGATGAGGCAAACTTGGCCCTGGGGAAAGCCCGGCCCCCATGGCCAGTGTGGGAGCACCGGGATACCCCAGGTCCTGGCCAGGCTGTCCAAGGAGGGGTCCCTGAGGGCGGGGCAGGTGGGCCAGTGGTGTCTCTATGCCATCCTCCTTCCTCTTGGTGCCCGCCTGGTGACCCCAAGATGACCCAAGCGAGTGGAGGTGGGCAGGGGCAAGGACCTGCGATGCCCTGGGCTCCGTGCCGCTGGCCCAGGGGCACCCACAGCAGACATGACCTCATCCTTGGGCCTCAGCCTGCTTTGCAGCAGGAGGGGTGGGGGTGCCCACAGGGCCCCTGGAGGCAGGCGTGGGTGCTCATTCACACCGTGCTCCCCAGGGCTGGTGACCAGCTCCGTCCCACCGGACACGGCCCCCAGCGCTGCTCTAGGCAGGGGGAGGTGGCAGCATGCCGCCTGTGCCAGGACCCTGGAGGCTGGGCTCTGGCCCTGGGTGCACCCCTGAGGCCCCAAAAATCACTAATGCCAGCAGCACAGGCGATGATGCAATGGGTCCCCATCCCACACCCGGCCGCCTGCCCTTGGGGTTTCATTTACAGAAGGCGCTCAGAAAACCCCACACACCTTCCAGGTGCCAGCTCCCAGGATTCCGGGAGATGCTGACTTCCACTTCAACTCCCAGCCCCATGCCCCCGCCTCCCGCCTGCCCACCCACTTCCCATCCACCCATCTCCCTCCAGCCTCCACATGTCCACCCTTTCCATGCCCCCATAATTCCCCCAGTCCCCCACCCAACCCCCACCCCAACCCCACCTGTCTCCACTCCCACCTCATCCCCACCCCGACCCCAACCCTCCCCCTTCTCCTGCCTGGAGCGTAAACATTCCACCCTCAGGACACCAAGCAGCCATCCACAGACCTCTCGACTCCTCCAGGCCTCCGGCCACCGCCTCGTCACCTCGTCACCTCGGCACTCCTCCCACCCACCACCGATGCCCCCACCCTCCCAGGCAGACCGAGCGCCCCTCCCCTCAGGCTCCCTGCCTGCCCATCAGCCCCAAGTCCCGCACCACAGTCCCTGCCCCGTTCTGTCACTCCTCCCGTCTGTCAGTCCATCCGTCCATCAATAAACATTTACTGACCACGTTCATTGTCCCAGGCATTTGGGGACGCAGCTGCGTTCTCACCAAGCTCCCACTCTGCCCCCAGGAGAAGGAAGTACAGGCCAGGCAGCAGCTGGTGGTGATGGGCCTTCTGATGAAATCGGGGGTGGTGTGGGGGGCAGGAGGGTGACAGGAAAGAGCCAGTGGGGATAGCGGGCAGCAGGGCAAGAGGGCAGAAGGCTTGAGGGAGCCCAGTCGGACCTCGTGGGCACCCGCCGCATGCTGCGCTGGTCTGAGAGCCAGAAGAGGAAGCTAAGGGCCCACTTGGGGCCACTGGGCATGGGCTGTGGGAAGGAACAGCGCTCTCATCTGTTGGGCCTGGCGGGTCTCAGAGGACACTGTGTTCCCCGCCAGAAACCACCCCTGAGGCAGGGAGTGTAAGGCAGGCCCCAGCTGGAACAGGGCGGGGAGGGGAGCGGCACAGCCCCGGGTGCCTCAGCCTCGCCTAGGGCTCTGGGGATGCCCAGCCTGGACAGGCCTGGGCAGGTGAATGGAGGTGAGCTGACATCTTCATGGCACCAGCATCTGCCCCGCTGATGCCCGCCACTACCAAGCGGCATCTAGCCACAGTGAGCACCACAGAGCTCCAGCCATCCTGCATAGCTCAGGCCGCCTCAGCCCTGAGTCCAAAACCACGAAGGGAGACTAAGTGTGACCTCAGTACAACAGCCCCTTCCCTGCAGGTCCCAAAGGCACTGGCTCAGAAAGCCCCTCCCTTCGGCTGCCAGGGCCCTGCCCGAGTGTGGGGCACTCCCAGGCCCTGGGCCAGCGGAAGCAGCTCTGGGAGACTGCGCAGGCCAGGAAGGCCCAGGTGGCCTGGGAGGTCAGCAGCCACTGGCAGCGTCCACCCCACGCCAGCCCTGTGCGCTCCTTTGCTGGGATCTGGGCCACAGGATACATGGTGGGGTGTGAGGTGGAGGCAGGTGAGGAGAGTCTCCTTTTTGGCCTCCGTGTAGCCCCAACCAGCTGAGATAGAACTGGAGAAACACAAGTTTAAACCAAGAAGCTTGCCCGGGATCCCCAGCAAGCGTGGGGGAGCAGCAGGCTCCTGGGATGGGAAGTGGGGTCCTGGTGAGGTTCCGGGCCCACCACTCCATTCCCCTCCCTCTGGGTAGGCACAGAGTTGGGTATGGGGGGTGGGGAGAAGGCCCCTCCCTCCCTGGCACCCACGCTGTGTGTCTCATTGGTGCCTGCCTGTCCGCCAGGTCACAGGGCAGCTCACTGGGGAGAAGAGGGACTCAGGACCCTGAGGGGGTCAGGCCAGTCTCCAACCGCCAGTCAGGCTCCCCAGAGCTGACGTCGGGCTGGCCCCCAGGGCCTACAGAGCCCCCTGCCCTTTCCCTGAGAAGGAAGGGCCTGCCCAGGCTCTCAACAGCCCAGTCGGGCCCTTCTGGGCAGGGTTTCCAGGGCCCCTGCTCCACGCCAGGGCGCCGTCCTACCCTTCCCCAGTTCCCAGAATGCTGGCCAGATAGACTGTGACCGTGTGACCAAGGCAAAGATAAACTGTGGCTGCCCTGGGCCCTGATTAGCAACAAATCTCAGGAAGTTTCCGCCCCATCCTGAAACCCCATCTCCGCAGCCCGACGGCTGTAATCCCACCAGTCACCCATTCGGGCCAGGCCTGGGCCTCCAGCTGCCACTGCCTCCCACCGCACCTCAGCCTTCCCCACTGGAGGGGGTCATGCCCCCACTTTAGGGACGAGTTGACAGAGGGGCCAGGAGCTGACCCTGCCCACGGAGGCCTCTCTGCTTGGTCCCCAGGGCACCAAGTTTGGGAGGCCCTTCTGTGACTGGGGTCGGAGCCCACGAATGCCTGGTAGAGCCCACGGGGCCTGGTGTTAGGGGTCTGTGAGAGAGCATGAGTTTCTTGAGGTCCCTCAGGTGCCCAGACAGCCTCCCAATCCTGATGGCCCCAGGGTCCCCACCAAGCTGGAATCTTCCCTCCAAGTGATGTGGGGGACACCTGGGAGCCCTCAACTCCCAGGAGGTGGGGCAGGCAGAGCCAGCCCAGCGGAGGCCCCCGGAAGCATCAGGAATGGCAGGAAAGGCAGCCAGGGCACAGGGACTTCCCGCACTCGTAAGCAGGGTGACCCTGTACCCACCCAGCTGGCTCTCCTGAGCCCTCCAGCTCCAGGAGCTCAGGGTAGGAGCAGGTAGGAGGGGCTGCAGGTGTCGGCCTCAGGCCTGGGGGAGGCGAGAGGACAGTCAGATGCTTCTCCAGTGGTCCCTAGAACAGACAGGTACACTGAGGCAAAGCGTCCTGGGCAGGGTGAGAGGGTGGCAGGCCCTGGGAGGACATCGTGGGCATCTGGGCAGTAGAGGCCACAGCAGGGTTGAGGGAGGCAGATACCCCGACCATGGTGGGGCAGACTGACCCCGCTGCAGGGCCCGTGGGCCAGGCTGATGGCAGTAGCCCAGGCGTGCGGGCAGGCTCTCACCTGCGGTTGGCTGGGCTGGGTGCATCGGGCAGATGACTTAATCACAGGCGGGCTTTGTCCCTGGGCACCCGCCCCCTGCCCGGATCCTCCGCCTGGCCACAAGCCCCCCACCCCCGCCCGGCTCCTAGCAGCCTGCAGCCGAGCACGAGGAATCGAGGAGGGTGGGGGGCTCTCCACCCTCCCAGGGCCTGGGAACAGCTCGGGGGTGGCCGTGGGGTGCGGCCAGGGTGGATCTGTCCTGGGCTAGGCTCAGGGGATGCCCGCCCAACCTGGCCCGTGCCAGCCCCCAAGGAGGGCATCCTGGGAGTGGCTCCAGGCTGGCATCCTGGCAGAGGAGGCGCCAAGGCCAGGGGCCAGGGGCCGGGGGTTTTGTATGCCGCAGGCCCCCCTCTCTTCCTGGGGCCCCCACCCTCCCTGATCCTGTCAGAGCCTTAGAAAGTGAGACAAAGGCCCCGGGAGGCCCCGGGAGGGCCAGGACACAGGCAGGAGACGGAGTTTTAATGACCGAGCTATAATGGTGGGAGCGGAGGCTGCACGTTAACCCTGTCGGTCCCTTGCACTGGGCCCACCTGACCTCCAGCCAGGCCCCCTCCCGCCATGCAGCTGCCCCTCCCCACCCCCCATCCCCTGTCACTGACCCTGGGAGACACTGGGAACAAAGTGAAAATCTTGCTCCAAAGAGATGCGAGCAAAGGTGTTCCGGGCCCCCGGCACCCCACCTGGGCAGCCAGTCGGTCGCCCATTCCTCTGTGAGGTGCTGGGCGGGGTGCTGGCTACACACTGCCCATGCACCCCGTGCACCTCGTCCACCCCACCCACCCCGTGCACCCCATGCACCCCCCACCCCGTGCACCCCTCCCACCCCGTGCACCCCTCCCACCCCATCCACTCCGTCCACCCCGTCCACTGCCCACCCCGTGCACCCCCCCACCCCGTCCACCCCTCCCACCTCATCCACCCCGTCCACCCCGTCCACCCCATCTGCCCCTCCCACCCCATCCACCCCATGCACCCCATCTGCCCCGTCCACCCCGTGCACCCCATGTACCCCGTCCACTGTCACTTCCCTCTGCATGCTCAATTTTCCCGATTTCTGACCTTGGAGGAGCCGAACTCTGGCCTGACCAGCTGTCTGACGTGTGGGACCCTGCACTCCTTCACGTGGGGGCCCCAGGGTGCCCGCTCAGTGGGGCTCTGCACCCGGCCCCTCACAGAGACCTGCCATGCAGAGGTGGTGGGAGCTTGGAGCTTTGAGGCCACAGAACTGAAGTGGAGACCCTCCAGACCCTGGCACCTGCTCATTCCCTGATGCTCAGGGGCAGCCCAGGTCCCCAGCAGGCCTCCCTGCCCCACTTCCCATTTCCTCACCTCTGACTGGCTGGGCATGGGCTGGAGTCTCAGGCTCCTTGGCATAAGTGGTCGACCCCGGGTCTGGAGCTGGGTGGCACAGGACGAAGGGTGTGGCATCTTGAGTGAAAGGAACCCTGAGGGAGAACCCCTGCCTCCCCTGACCCTCCACCCCTCACCCTCCCTCAAGGCCTCAGACTTGCGTGGGACCTCAGCAGGCCCCTGAGTCCGTTAAACCTTGTTTGTGGAGGGGCTAGACGTCTAGGGACCCAGTGCAGGAATCAGGAACAGGTACAGGGACCCAGTAGGGAAATCAGGGAGCCGGTAGAAGGGTGCAGTCAGAGCCCTTGGGGCATCCACAGATGGCACCCAAGGCCAGGGTCTGGAAGTGAACAGACCCTTCCAGGAGGCAAGCAGGCTGAGCCTGTCCATGCTGGGGAGACTCGGGGAGTGCCAGCCCTCACCCCAGCACAGCTCACAGCAGCCCTCAAGGTCCATGCCAAAGAGATGGAGGCCCAGAGAGGGCTCCTGCACTTGCCCCCGAGGTCCCAGGCTCCCGTTGAGGACCCGCTTCCTCTGCCTGCGCCCCCTGACCCCAGCAGGCACAGTACTGGGTGGGAGAGGGGCAGACTCCAGGACACGAGAGGCCCCCCTTCCATGAGCCAGGGCAGAGGGCAGAAGACGGGCCTTCTCTGTTCTGCTGCCTCTTCCCTTGGAAGCCCAAGCCAGGGAAACAGGAGGGTGCCGAACAGAGGACAGTGTGCCCATCGCGACCTGCAGGGGTCTAGACCTGGCAGGAGGGGAGCCAGGGCAGCACAAGGAGGGGTGGGAGGAGCCCCTGCCATGGCCCAGGAGGGTATGGAGAAGGCCTCGTCTCGCAGGGTGCCCTGGCAGCTGGATGGGCAACCAGGAGCAGGAGAGGCTAGGCCTGGGCAGCTGGAAGGATAGACAGAGCTGTAAGTCCCTGAGGCAGGGAGGGGCAGGGTGCTGAGTTCACGAAGTCCAGTCAGGATGCCTGTTACCCTGCCCAGCACAGACACTGAGTGCGCTGCGTGTGTCTGGTGCGAGGTGTGTGTGTGAGTGTGGGCAGCTGCGTGTGTGCCCGCCTGGGCGCCTGTGAGCCTGCGAGAACCCATGCAGGGTGGGTGGGGCCAGGGGCTGCCCTGGTGGACCTCTGAGGGATGCCGGCACTGAGGCCTGCACCAGAAGTGACAGCCTGACAGCACACGCCGTACAGGTCCCCCGAGCTGTGGGTCACTAGGACCCCCAACCCCCATCCTCTAGCAGAGGTCTCTCCCACTCCCAGGAGGCCTGGCTCCGGTTCGGACACCTCACCCCTTCCCCATCCCCCCTTGGGTGGCGGTCCTGGGGTGGGGGTGGCCTTAACGGGGGTCCCACACGCACTGGCCGCTCAAAGAGCACGAAAGCTGCCACTCAGAGGGCAGAGATGCCTGGCCTGAAGTGCACACGCCTCGGCCTGGGAGTCGCAGACAGCACCATGTTTCCTGGGCCTCCACTCAAGCCATCGTGTCCTTGGAGGAAACCTGGGTCCCCCTGAACAGAGAGAAAAACTCCACCGCCTCTGCCGTGGCCTCGGTCTGTCTCCTCACCTGTGGACTGGTGGCCGGGCCACTGTCAAAGCAGAGGCCGGGCCGGGAGGGGCCGGGCCACGGGGGTGTGGGAGAGCGGCCGCAGCCAAGGCACAAACAGCACAGCTTGTCTTCACCCACCGGGTGCCGCGGGGCTTCCAAATGCCTGCATGAGGAACGTGGCCGGGCGGGAGCATGCTGCGGCCGTGAATGGAGCCTTGAGCCGCCCCGGCCCCGGGGCTGGGATAAAGGGCCCCAGTCATGCCGCCCTGGCCCGGGCGAGTGTGCTAAGTTGAGGCTATAAATTACCCGCGGCCAGGCCAGCGCCACCACAGGGCGGGCGGGCGGGCGGGGCGCTGGGAGGGGGCTCCAGCTCAGTAAATCGGCCCTTTCACCACTGGAGGCCGCGCACGAAAGAAAAACTTTGTTTTATTAAAGCAACATCAGGGCTGTGGCCGCCAGCCGAGAGGCGCCGGCAGCGAGGCTGGGCAGGCGGGGGCTCCTGCCGCACCCGACTCAGAGAAAGGCCCCTTCAGGAGTGGCTGTCTCTGGCTGCGGGGCCGGGCCGGGGGCTCCGTGCTGCACCCCCGACCCGCAGGCCCACCCTGACCCTGGTCCCAGAGGCCTCTGGGAAGCCTCGCCCTTGCCCCCAGACCCCACAACAGGAGCTGGCCTGTGCTCATCCAGGAGGTCGGGGCCTGGAGCAGGCGTGCAGGCCAGCCACTTCCATAGTCAAATGCCCGGTAGTCCCTTCAGGGGCTGGGCTGGGTGCCAGGACGGCCGGGGGCAGAGGAGGAGAAAGAAGTGAGACCCAGGCCCAGGGCTTGCGCCGCTGGGCTCAGGCCCCGCTCAGCAGGGCAGGCATTCGGCTCTGGGGGCTGCACACACAGGCCAGCCCTCACGTGCAGCCCTAGGGAACTGCGAGTCAGAAGGAGGGGTGCCGGTCCGGAGCTGCCTTGGACAATATTTAGACAATTTTTTTTTTCTTTGAGATGGAGTTTTGCTCTTGTTGCCCAGGCTGCAGTGCAATGGTACGATCTCAGCTCACCGCAATCTCCGCCTCCCGGGTTCAAGGGATTCTCCTGCCTCAGCCTCCAGAGTAGCTGGGATTATAGGCATGCGCCACCATGCCCAGCTAATTTTGTATTTTTAGTAGAGACAGGGCTTCTCCATGTTGGTCAGGCTGGCCTTGAACTCCTGACTTCAGGTGATCCGCCTGCCTCAGCCTCCCAAAGTGCTGGGATTATAGGTGTGAGCCACCACACCAAGCCAATGTTTAGACAATGTAAGTGAAACTGAATGAAAACCAGGCAGCTCACTTCTGTCCCTCTCGTGGCCATAGGCGATAGGGCCCTGTAGACCCCAAGGCCAGGTGAGTGAGACCTGGCGGCCAAGTGTGGGCCTGGCTGGCGTCCTGAGCCTGCTCCCACCCAGGTCTTGCCCTTCAGGGGATCTCCCACCCTCCGTTCCTGCTCCTGCAGGGCCTCCCTGAGCACAGCCCTCTGTCCTCTAACCCCCAGCCTCCTCAGAGCCTCCCTGGCACCACAGACCATGGTGGGGACTGCGGCCTGAGGCTGGTCCCACTCTGTAAGGTGTCCATCCTCCCCTCCCTCCTCTCCTTGGGGCAGGTCTGAGCCCCCACCTCCAGCCCTGTGAGGGGTGCGGTCAAGATGGGTGCCTGGCACCAGAGCAGGGGCCAGCAGGACATGGTGGCCTGGGACCCAGGTACTGAGGCAGGTGGCAGGGGCTGCTATGGGGCTGGGCATCTTCCGACCTCTCCTTTGAAGCTGCGGCTGGCTTTGGACCCAGACCCCTCAGCTGAGAATGGGGCTGGGGGGTCAGGGCTGGGTTCACACTGTGCGTTTCTGGGCGCTGAAGCCCACCTCTCCTCAGAGACCCCTCTGCCTGCCTCTCCCCACTGGGGCTGCCTTGTCCCTGGTCACAGTGCAGCTTGCAGCTAGGACATTCTTGTCCCCCAGCCCTAGCTCTCAGACGAGTGGAGTCTCCATGGGGCACAAAAAGCTGGGTGGCACTGAGGCCCGGTGCAGTGAGGGGCCTGCCAGGGACTGGAACTCAATGTTCGGGGACAGTTTCTTGTCCCCAGGGTCCCTGGGCCACGAAAAGCTCCAGGGTCTATCCAGAGTCCCCAAAGCCCAGGCCTCCTGCCCAGCCCAGTTCACACTGCCACCCCTGCATCCCTGGGGTCTGCTGGGTGCTTCTACCTCCCCCTCCATCCTAGCAAGCTCCTATTCGCCCCTGAAGACCCAGGCAGAGGAAGCTCCCCTGACTCAGAGTGGCCTCGTCCCCTGCCCTCTGCTCAGGCTTGTCCCCTGCCCTCTGCTTCTGGGAGATGGCAGTGTGCAGGTGTTCTGCAGGCAAAGCCCGTGGCGGGCCTGCGTGTGGACCCCCCTTTGTCCAGGCCTCCCTAGAGGAGCCAGCCCTGCACCACCATAGCCCTGGGCTCCACTTCGGCCCTGTTGTGTCACGTACCTGCGCCCTGGGGGGATGCTCAGAGGGGTGAAGATGAGCAAGGCACCTGCGTTCCAGCAAAGGAGCAGGCACAGAATGGGGAGGAGGGAGGAAGGAGGAGGGTGTGGAGTACAGGGCACTAGTGCTCCAGCCTAGTGGGCACCAGGGAGCTTTGGGTCTGACCTGGAGGTCACAGGAGCCACTGCAGGTGTGGGGTGGGGCAGGATGTGGGGGATCCCCTGGCTTCCATGGGCACAGGGGACAGGAGGCCACCCAAGACAGCAAGGTCCCTGTGGGGGCTGGGGCTGGGGTCAAACGTGAGAAGGGTGTAATTTCAGGCCTTTGTAGATGGCCTTGGGCCTAGGTGCAAGCTCACACCTTCCTAACCTCCCGCCCTGACCTGGGGCCCCTCCCTGATGTGGTGGGCAGAGCCCAGGCTGGCTGGGGTGCCAGGTCCCACCAGGGTATTAGGCGGCAGGGCCTGGGAGGCCGTACCCCTGGAATCACTCAGCCCCAGGCCTGCCACCCGGGAGATGAAAGGCCCTGCCCCTCTCGGGGCCCACATGCCCTTTGAAGGCTGTGGGAATGCCCGCAGGGCAGGCGAGTGCCAGGCGTGAGGGGGTTGCTGGGGCCATGGCGGAGGCCCAGAGGATGGCCCAGGCCTGCACCGCCTCCTGGCTGAGCACCGGCCACCCTCCCAAGGCCACATTGTCCTGGACTTCCCAGCTCTGAGGTGCCAGTGGATGAAGGAGGGGAGGGGGCAGGGACGTGCGCCCCTCCTAGACCTGGGATCTTGTCTCCCATCTGGACTGCCTGTAGAGGCAGGGGCCCTGCATGTGGGTGTGAAAGCAGGGTTCACCCACCCAGTTCGGGCCTTAGTGACATGCACTCAGCCACAGCCACAGGGCCCTTGAGGAGGCCGCCCGAGGCCCCTCCCCCACCTCCTCTCCAGTCCAGGGTAGGAAGACGGGTCTCCGGCCATCCCCTCTTCGGGGGTCAGCACAGAAGCTCCAGCCAGAGCCTGGTTCGTGCCCTCTTCAGGCCAGGGCTGTAGGGGGATGTCCTGCCACTGGCAGGGGTCGGCCGCCTGCCCTCACCCTCCTGGCTCTGGCGGGCGCGGCTGGAATGTTTGCCTTTGCTGTTTGCCCGGGGTGGGGGGGGGGGGGGGGGGGGGTGAGCGCGGCCCCCCGGGGAGCCCTGTCCCGGCCAGCTGGGTCCGCCAGGCCAGTCGGCCGCGGAGGGGACCCTCCGGCTCCGACGGGGAATTCCAGGGCCGGCGGTGGCGCAAAGGGTGCTTCCTGCCCGCGGCGGTCCCTCGCCTGCTCCGGCCCGGGCGGCTCCGACTGGGAGACCCGAGCCCAGAGGCGCGCCCCGCCCCGCCGCCCCCTCCGCCCGCTCGCCCGCCTCCGGGGCTCCTAGCGCGGCTCGGAGATTATGCAAATCCCCAGTGGCTCCTTAATTAAATCCCTAACGAGGCGCTGGGGCCGGGCCAGGGGCGGCGCTGAAAGCCGAGGTCACGCTCCAGAGGGGCCCGGCCCGTCTGCGACCAGGGGGCCCCCGCGCCCCTCCCGTCCTGGGAACCACGGCGCAGCCGGAGGGGGCGGGTCTCCCCTGCCTCCCCCACCCCCTCCTCTGCCCCTCTCCCTCCCCTCCCCCTGCCTCCCACCTCCTCCTCTCCTCTTCCCCCTTCCCCCCTCGCCTCTGCCCCGCCCGCCCGGCAGCTCCCGGCCTCGGTGTCCCCACCGGGCGGCGCGCGCGGACCCTCCGGGCGCCGAGGCCTGGGGTCCCGGGCGCGAGGCCGCCGGGTCGGGGGCGGGGCCGGCGGGGGCAGCGGCCCCCCGCACCCCGCGCTCCCCTTTCAGCCGCCTGTTGTTGGGCCAACAGCTCGGGCCGCGGCCGCCTGAAAGGCCGGGATTAGCGAACATTAGCGGCCTTTGAGCGGCGCCCGGGGCGCCCCTTCCGCCCGCCACGCCCGCGCCGGCCGGAGCCCCCCGCCCCGCGCCCCGCGGCCCGCTCTCGACCCCGCTCCGCCCGCAGCGGCCCGGAGCTGCCCTTTGTGCAGAGCTGGGGCGGCCCGTACCCTCGTGCCCTTCGGAGAGACCCAAGGGTGTTCTCCAGGTGGAAGGGGTGACGCCCCCGCTAGGTCACGGCCACCGCCCCCCAGCCCACCCTACCTTCCACCCCTACCCCAGGCGCCGGCTTCCAGCCCTTCTCCGAAACCCCAGCACCGCCTCCTCCCGGCAGCCTGCGGGAGTTTCCTGAGCTCAGCCCTGGGTCGCTGGGTCCCTGCAGGCCTCCCGTCCTCCTGGAAGCCCTGGCTCCAAGGTTCCATAGGCAGGTTGGCACCCCTTCTCTACCCCATCCCCCCGGCCCGCCGCCTCACTCTTTTCTCTCAAAGTGATTTCTGGGCCCTGGGGCCAGAGGGGAGGCTGCTCAGGAGAGGTCGCTGTCCCCAGACAGAGCTCAGGGCCCGCTCACATATGCGGAGCGCTGTCTGAATGTCCGGCCCTATCCCAGGACACCTGACCCAGATTACATTACAAAAAGAAGGTGTTGTTACTACCCTCATTTTACAGGTGGGAAAATGAGGTGCAGTGAGGCAGCCCAAGGTCACCCCACAGCAGGTGTGGAGGGGGAACTTGACCTCAGCCCCAACACCAAGGCTGTCCTCACGGGTTCTCACCTGGCCCTGCCGTCTCCAGGGCCGCCTATTTAGGATAATTGCCGGCCCAGGAGCCGAGGGGCTCTGCACATCTGCCCAGCTCTGCAGGGGCCTAGGGCCAGGGTCTTGGCCTGGACCACAGGCGCGTGGCTGGCCCTGCGGTCTGCAGGGGATGGCCTGGGCCAGGCTGCCCTCTCTAATCCTCCCTCTGTTCCTGCTCATGCTGGCCCAAACCACAGCTCGACCCTCGCTGCCGCCCAGGACTCGCCTCCAGCAACCCAGCCCCAGGGACACGTGCACACATGCACACGCAGGCACACACAGGCACACACAGGCACAGGCACCCCAGCAGGCGCCCCGGCCTCAGGAGAGTAAACATCTTCACCAGAGGAAGAGCAAGCCCTCTCCCAAGAGAAAAAATGTGGCCAAACCTGACCCAGGCAGGCCTGTTGGGGGCTGGCTGGGGGCCCTATTCCTGCTGCCACCCAGAGTCACGCTGGCCTCTGAAGTTTGGTGGTAAAACATTGACAGTCCCCTGCCCCCCACCCACAGGCCTAGCACCCACACGCGTTGCGTTCTGGGAGGAGCGTGGGGCCAAGCAAGCCAGCAGGGCTAGGCAGGTGGGCACCAGGTGGGCACCTACAGGTGCTGTTGCCCCAGCACACGTGTGGATGGGCTGCAGTGAGTCCCCTGAGGGCTGTATCGGCGGGCCCCCTCTGCCCCCTGCATGCCCACAGCCCTGTGTCTCCCACCCTGTGCCCAGACAGTTCAGGACCAGTTCAGGCAGGTGTGGGGCCTGTGGGGCTTCAGGGGGAAGCCCTGGCTGTAGGGGGCACCCGCTGGAGCCTATCAATGCCCAGGGCAGAGGCTTTGTGGGTCCTGCCTGCCAGAGTCCTCTGTCCTAGGC